ACCTGCCTCACTAATTGCAAATGCACCTAATTAGAAATAAATATATATATATACACCAAAGTCAATTGCTCTCATATTCACTGATGTGTAGTTTCCCTGTTCTTGTTCAATAGAATCTACAATTGTGAATAGTTAAATAAACAGGAAGTCGAGTTTTTCCATTTTAATGAAACTGTCAAGAGGGTACGCTTAGATGAGATATAATGAAGGCCAAGCTGGACGGGGCTTGGAGTAACCTGGTCTAGTGGAAGGGAGCTGGAACTGGATGCTCACTAAGGTCCCTTCCAACCCAAACCATTCTACAATTCTAGTAACTATCAGGGAAAAAAAACAAACCAAACCAAACAAAAAAAAAAAAAAAAAACAAACCCAGAAAAAAAAACCCAAACAAACAAAACCAAACACCTGAACCCCATACATGACTGTAGTCATAAATAAAGTAAAATTCAGTTTTACATATATGACCACCGTACACTGTCAAACTAATGAAGAGACAAAGATCACTAACCCTACTGCTTTGGGCTGCTCCAACATGAAGTGTTCCAACATCACAGCTCCCAAACAGAGAACAGGAAAAATAGCAACAAATAAAACAGCACATAAACAGCAAATAAAAATAGCAGTAACAAAAACACACAAACCTCGCATAAAAATGCTAAATAATAAAATTCCAAAATAATCAAACCTCAAAATGATCAAACAAAACCCAGCTTTCAGAGCAGCTAACAATATAACTTTAAAAAAATAAATATAGGCTTAAGGTCTGCTAGTCTTTAAAGCATTTAAACAAACAAAAACTATCCAACTACCTATGGAATTAGAGCTGTGATAAATTGTGTGTCTGAGAATATCATACCGAGCAAAACTTAATGCTTGTCACTTGAGGAAGCGCAGATCTAAAACCCAAACAGCTCAGTGGAAGTTTTACGCTAAGCACTCCTTGCCATTTATCATTATCTATAAAAGCTGAGCTTTACTCCTACTTCATTCTCTTCTCTCACAGTTGAGAGGCAAGAGGTTGTAATCATGACCCAAGAGGGATGACTATAGCCTGCCAGTTTGAAGCAGCAGTTCCCAAGCCCTTTTCTAGTCCCCCAAGCTCATATGCAAGCTTGATTCCATAGGATTAAATCACACAAAGGTGGAAGGATGGCTACCAGAGACAAGTTTGCTACCAGGGCAAGAACTAGCCAACTCTGCCACAACTCTCAGCAGCTGAACCCTGATGGCATCTGTGAGCAGATGGGGAAAAAGGAAACACAGCTTAAGCAAAGGAAGACCTGACCTCTCAGGCTTACACCCTTCTGACTAGAGGAGCCCCCATGAGGAGTGACCCTCTCCACTGAACTAGGGTTTCCAGTTCCCCTTGTCTTCTTATTTCCCCAAAGAGAACAAGAGAAGGCCTGGGTGGCAGATTGAACATGATCCCAGGAAGCTGTGCTCAGGGTCACGTCTAGAAAAGTGCATAGGAAAGCTAGGAAGTTTTCCACAAAATTAGAGTATCTCCAAAACACTTCTCCGAAAAGGCAAGTACCTCAGCAAAGCCTCCCACAATCTTCTACTATTCATTTACTTTACCAAAGTGAAAAGTACCAGGAATAACGATGAGACTTCTTATAGAGAGCAACAATTTCCAAGCTGTAAGGCAAATCATTTCCAAATTACACGTATCCAGGTAAAGACAAAGATTAGTGGTGGTGGTAAATACCAAGAAAAAAGAAGACTATGCAGTCTGGAAAGAAAATTGTCTAGTTTGGGAATTGAAAGTCTTACACTTCTGAAAATACCCCAGCAAGACAAGCGCCATGAACCAGACAACCTCCCTGTATGCTGTTCTAAGTCAAGTAATGATGAACTAATACCAATTTCTTAGTTTTAGTTTATATAGATACCATCAGATTAACTTGATTGTGAGGGATGATTTCTATACAGAAGAAAATCAGAGATACTAAACCTATAACCAGGTAAAAGGAAGTTCTTATTCTGAATGCTGGCCTGTTTTCTGGGAATCAGTAAGGCTGAATCACCAGAAGCCTCTGGTTATTTATACTGAAAATAGAAATCACTGTAAATCTATGTTGTACTGGACTATCAATTGGGGATTTTAAAGCATTAAAGATTCACTACCAACTATCAAAACATACACCCTTAATAATAACTTTGACTTGAGAAGGGACTCTTACGTATCTTGTTTCCTTAAAACAGAGCAGTCTAATATCACTGTTACCATGACCAGCAAAAACCCTGCTAATCTTCACCTCATTCACAAAATTAAACTGCATAAATCAAAACGGAAAAAAAGAAGATAATTAAACCTCACAAAAGAGGGAGGGAGGGGATTAGGGAAGGGAAGGGAGAGGGAATAAAGAGAAGGGAGGAGGAAATAAACTAAATTTTACATGATTGCTCCACAAATCAGGTGAGGAAATGTCAAAAATTAGATCTAACTCCAAAACAAAACCACCTCTCTGGCTTAGGTGTGACCTAAAATCTTAACACTGTTTCCACTGACACAAGTAAAATGCAAACACAACCAGTCCCTAAAATCAGAAGCACTATACTTATTCATACCAAAAATTGAGTGCAATACTTACAGAATTTGTAAACTGTTGCCAAATTAAGCAGCTAAAAAAAAATGTTATGATTAACCCAGCTGCGGTAACCCCAGGTGGTTATTTTACAAAATACGTTTTTTTTTTTTCCCCTGGAATATAAAAGGGTGTGTAATGAAGCAACAGAACTGAGGCATTCTGAAAAGACATTTGTCTTTGTAGGACTCATGCTGTCCATAATGAAACCATTTAAAGAAAAGGGCAGAAATCACGGCAATGTGAAACTCCAATTTTTTATGAACAGAGCAAGGCAAAATGAAACACAAGCTGCTTGCATTTGTAGGGCACAACAAGGAAAATCTGATCTAACACATCTGGACTTTGGTGACTCTCCACAGCTACTGTGCTTCATGCTTGTTAAAGAGCCTGTAACTGAACGATCCAACAGGATGCAAGAACCTCATTAAGTGTATGCCAATTGTTAGCCATAGTCAAATGAAGCCACAGCATAACTGTTTTAAAAAGCATTTTGAAACTGCAGTTGAAAACAGGCATGAGCATACAGCTAATTGTCATTTTTGAAAAATTAAACTGTTAAAGGCACATTAACTATATTATGAACCATTTAAGACCACACTCCGTCACAACAATAACGCAGAAGCAACACAAGGACCTACTGTACCCTATGCATTCACCCCTACAAAACAACCCTGCAGAACAATTGTTCTGTAAACAGAAAAGCTGACCAAGACTTGCAAAATTCTGATTTCCTGTTGTCACAGAAAGCATAATTAAAATCCAAAATCATCCACTGACTAAAATACTGTAGACTCCACTTTTTAAACCATGGAGTACAGTTAATCAGTTTGACAAACGCAAATTTAGCTTTCCTAAGCTAGTTTGCACAAATAAATTGCACATGAGCACAGAGGAACCACTCACACTAAGATAGCTGTCTCCACTACCTGCGCTTTAGGCTGAAAATATTCTTTTAAGCTGAATTAACTTTCTTGAGGAAAGAAAAAACATAATCTTGCTGTACTAGGATTCTGATTTGTACTGTCTCATGCTTTTAGACTTTATTCAGTGGATTAGTGAGGCTTGTGCAACTTTTCTCTATAAAGTTATATAGCTGCTTCCTCATTACAGTTAATAATGGCACTGCTGAGACTACATCTGGTCCAGAAACATCCACAGATCCAAAACTACAGAACCGTATTTGGAATATTTGGCAAGTACATTTAGATATGGAAACAAGCACAGATTTATCCACAAAATGTCAAATTCAACATCGAACACTATGGAACAGAAAAACCTTCATTTTTGTCTTTCAAATGTTGCTTATATCCCCAACTTAATTCAATTTTAAAATAAGAACTACTTTCCAAAATATACTCACTAATATACTGATACCCAAGAACCTTAGTTGGTTATTAGTACATGTTAAGAGATCATGTGACAGTAAGACATTAAAATACTTGTAAGTGTCCTAAGAACAAAACTTGAATTACTCTTTTCTAATTCTCACTCTGAACACTCACACGGATACGTAACACTCTTGATTGTCTAAGCCACAGAATGGAGACAAGTTAACAGCAATTAAATTTACTAAATCTTCCATGCGAAAAATTAATCAGTTAAACAGCTTTGGTAACCTAGTATATAGTTAGCTTTGTGTAAATATTTTGCAAACATCCCTTCCCCCCAAAATCTCTACATACTATGAGTACATTTATATAATAATATACATATTTCCTGAGTAAATCGTTAAATCTGATTATTCAGAAGATTTGGCAAAATATCCAACTTTATATTAATAAAATAGATTTTAAAATAAACATTCAATAAAGATATTAAAATAAATATGGAATGTTTCTGAAAATTATAGTACCATGAACTTATATTAACAAACAGCAATTTTCTTTAATTAAGTGCATACTATGTTATTATATAGTTACGGGTTTTTAACCCACTGAGGAATCCATAAATCTAATTTCTAATCCTGAGTGACAATTTTATATCACCTGCTAATGTATACTTCAATGCAGTACTCGCTGCAAAGCTACAAAACCTTTTTTTTCTTATGGAGAATTTTAAATGGACTATGATGTGGAAAAGCTTGGTTTACACTGATTTAGCTAGGAACTGAAGCGGCAGCGTGACTGCTGAAGCATCTCACACAACCAGCATTAGACACTGATTATTCTTGTCAAACTCTGTTAGAGCTAATCTGAATTACTGAAGTCCCTGCCACAGGAAACACTACAGAAGTGTGGACTCCTCTGCATAGTGACGGGATGCAAACTACTTCATGATCACTTTGGCACTTAAAAGAGCCACATAATGGTGCCAAAAAAAAACCCTGAACAATTCCGATATAGCTTTCTAATGGATTTTTTTGTTTGTTTTAGTATGCTAAATTGTAAAAAAAAAAAGGAGAATTAAGTTCTACCACACTCTGGTTTCTCAGGTCATGGCTTACTCACAGCTGATACACATCTTTGGAGAAGCACACAAGGAAACAATGCTATTTAGCTTGTCTCAGTAACAAAATTCTTACGTAGCAGACTCTGCAATACCAGCAATACTAAAATTGCATTAACACTATTACAAGATGTGTGTCTCAACATCAGAATCACAGTAATAGAAATGCAGCACTAATCGGTAACCCTTTTGCTTTTTTTGATAGCATATCAAAACCACCATCCGTGGTACTGGGCAGGACACTTTGCTCTTCCCTCCCCATCCTCAGCCTCCCTTTTGTTGTTGTTATTATTATTATTAGCTGTTATTCCAGAATCCTCCTGGGTTCCTCAGGTTTTTCTTTTTTTGCATCATTTGTTTTCATGCTCCATGCTGCTTTTTTTCTTGTGTGCTTGTGTTTGGAGGACAAAGCTCCTGCAATGCCCTTTCAACAACTTCTGGTTTTACTGGACTGCTTGAAGAGTTTTTTGGCAAGGTCATCTGCAGCGCACACCATAAAGCGGTACGAGCCTTGCGTGTGGAAGCAGCCAAGTCTTTAATGGCAGCTGCCAGAGCCAGAACATCTACAATGGAAAAACACATTACAGGTTACACTTGTATACACTGGCCTGGTAATATTAATACGTTTTAAAAATTAGTAAATTTGTTCAACCCATCACTGGTATACAAAGTGTGCTAAAGAACCAGCTAACAAAATACACTGGTGTTGCACTGGTTGAATTCCATAAGTTAGCTGTTAACATCTCACACTAACAGCAACTATAACTGTGTCCAGAATTCAGTGGTATAACCATCTCACCTGTGATGCAATAATTGAGCCTATTTAATTAACGTTATCAGAGGGGACTATCTTCAAGTATAGAATTGTAGGATCCAAAGTTGGAAGGGACCTCAGGAATCATTTGGTCCAACCTTTCTTGGCAAAGCATGACCTAGACCAGATCACCCGGCACCCTGTCCCAGCAAAATCTTAAGAGAATTGAACACGAGGGAATCCACCACTTTCCTGGTGAGATTATTCCAGGGGCTGATTGTTCTCATTCTGAAAAATTTTCCTCTGGTTTCCAACTGATACCTCCCCAGAAGTAACTTGTGCCCATCACTCCTTGTCTTTCCCATGTGACCACTTGTACAAAGGGAGTATCCGTCTTCTTTGTAGCCACCCTTTAAATACTGGAACATGGTGATAAGGTCTCCTCTGAGCCTTCTTTTTCAAGGCTCAACAAACTCATCTCTCTTAGCCCTTCCTCACACAGCTGCCCTGTCCTTGGATCATCTTTGTGACCCTTCTCTGGACCCTCTCCAGCCTGTTCACATCTTTTTTTATACAGCAGGGACCAAAACATGACACAGAATTCCAGATGTGGCCTGATGAGCACTGAGTACAGTAGGATAACATCTTTATCTCTGCTGGAGCTGCCTTTGCAGATGTAACCCAGCATCCTGTTGACTTTTGTTCCCCGCAGCTGCACACTTTTACTCAACAAGCACAGTTAGTAAAACTGCCCACTCTATTCCAGCCAGATAAGCTTAATGCAATCCTTTTTAACTCCTTTATCTTTCTTGCAGCAATACCACTTCCCACCCAGTCTCACAGTGAGGAAAGGCTCACTGCTGAACTTGGGATATACAAGCATCAACAGCAAAACTCAAACAAATATGTTTCACAGTGAAAAAAACACACTAAAGGCTTTTCTGCATGTGATTTAGATTGTGCTTAGACACCCAACAGCAGCACATCTCTTCTTTAGAAACGTAACTGCACTGCAGATGTTACCACTAATTGTAAATGACTAATTGAATTTTTCTAACTACAGCTAGGCTACAGGATGGTTTAAATAATGCTTCCATATACCTTTACTATGAAGCATTATCAAAAACATGGTTTGTAGGATTTTTATTTTTTTTTAACACCTACCTGTTTCCTGGCTTATGCTTGGGGCTAACATTGTCACACAATTTTAGGAGTAATTTTAGAAGCTGGTTTGCATCTAGGACTATCATTTTTAAGGATATGACATCATGCTTGACACCTAGCTTGTGAATGCAAAACATCTTGACTCTCTTTACAGCCTATCTTCTCCTCCTTACATGGAAGAACTATCCCATACACATTGCTGGAAGCCAAAGAAACACCACATTGTGGCAATAACAGGAAGTAAGACAATACAGGACAGTGCTGCGTAAAGATCCAAAAAATGGAGGGGAGGAGGCAGGAGATGTCCATTCCTCTTTGGAAATAATTTCCTGAGACACAGGCATTTTCTGAAGAAAAAGTAATATGATCTTTACCTCCAAACCCTGAATTCCTGTATGTATCAGCTACATGATCACTATACTGAAGAGCAAGTTATCACTCACACTGTGGTGTTGAAAGGGAAAGCAACTATCCTCATTTTGCATTACTTCTACAGAAGTACATATTGCTGCTACAAATTATTCTGGCTTTACTTCAGCAGACACTGGAATTCATGAAATGCAATTTCTGGTGGTTTTGTGATTTAGGTAATTAGACATAATCAATTAACAAGGCACCAACTTTTTTTTGTGTGTGTTTTATAAGCTGAAAGAGTAGCAATAACACTAATTTTAAAAAAAAGTTAATTCAACTTGTTAAAAACACATACATTTTCACTTTTAGGACAACTACTTAGTTATATAACATCACCAGACAGTTTTTACTGCTCTCTTAGTGAAGAGGAAAACGCTTCAAAGTATTTAAAGTACCAATGGAAAAGCAGAAGAGAACAAAAAAATTGCTTAAAAGTCGTTTAAAAAGTAACAGGTATAGGTTTACACTTTTTTTTTTTGCTGCAGTTACAATAATTGCTGCCTATTTCTAATTCCCGTATTTCAAATGGCTTATCTCTACAATTAAAACTTTCAAAAACCTTTTAAAACCAAATGAATGGAAAACAGTTACCTTTCTCATTATTGTAACGCAGTGCTCGTTGTCTCTGTGGATTAGCAGCACTAACAATCTCATCCTTACGCCTCACCTGTGTTACATTAATAGCTTCCATATGGTGTTTCAATGTAGTGGATATGTTACTGTGTACAGGGGTACCACGAAGCCTTTCCATCTTTCCTACTAAGGTGAGCACCTGCCACACATTGAAAACACCAAAAATCATTAAACGTATATAAATCTTAATTAAACAAACAGAACAACAAAAACAAATGCAGGAATTGGAGCTCAAGAAGACTTACCCTGGCTTGTTCTCTTAACTGGTCGACAATCAAGCGATCAACTCGTGATGGGTTAGCAGGAAGGCGGGACATGGGAGTGGTATTTGAGCTTGATATGCGCTTTCCTGGGAAGTTTCTTGCAAGGTCAGCTTCAGTCTGAAAGGGAAATAAATAGCCATTGTACACATTTGAAATTACTACAGTATTACAAACCATATTTTGGGGCCATTTAGAATTTTCAAATACATTAGAAGTGCACTTCCTGTCTTTACTTCTGACGGCATTTGTGCAACAACGCTCCCAAACACTTGTTTAGATGTACAACCACCTGCCGTGAGCCTGAAAATACTTCTGTAATTCAGCTTCACCTCAGACTGTAGTGCTCACTGGCAGCTTTACAAAGCTGTGCAGCTTTATTTTAATCCATCTTGGACACAGAACACAGGCAAAAAAAGTCTTGTGTAGCACCCCAGGTATGCCTTTCAAATGTCACATACTATGATTATTAACAAAAGAAACAAATGATCACACCAATGTATGCTGTATTTGAAGTGTATCAGGATTAAGCCAGATTTAACACGAATAGGTATCAGCTCTGAGAATGTCATCAACGCAGCTGCTAAACTCCCCACTGAGAAAGGAACTGGCCAAACCACTATACAGTGCAAGAAGTAACTAAACATCACCTACTTTTAGACAAGAGCTTCTTACACCTTAAGTAAAAAAGACACAACTAGCAGATGACTCTCTTATCTCACTCCTTCTTCAGTGTTCAACAGACTGAGGAGAGAAAGATTAGTACAACACTGCAGTTTAAGGCAAGCTTAAGTCCACATTCATACTATAAGCATGTTCATACTGAAAATACGTGCTTAAGTTCTTTTCTTTTTGGTTTACTGATACACCCATATTATTTAGTCTCTGCCCTCACCTAACATGAATTAGAAGAGCCGGCTGACACCACCTGTATTCATCTCAGAAGCCTGACATTCAGAAAAAAACATCAATTCATATGACATCAGGTATTTAATAACAAATAATAAGCCATTTCCAGTATTAATCTTTATGCACATTTAATATCACAGGCAATTCAAGAGGTTTTTTAAAATGTGAGATGCCTAGAAAGGTGAAATTTATACAAGTTAACAGGTAAATTAACTGTTGCTGTGAACTCCAAAGCAGTTGCACTGCACAGGTTTCTGAGAGCTGAAAGGGTTGACTGATTAGACAGATTAGATAGACTTATATGCAAGTCCCGCTGGGGGGAGTTTTCTGTCAACACTTTTAATAAATTAATGTAGGGTGAGAATATCAGAAGTCTGAGAATGTCAGAAGACAGACCCTTCCCATACACATAGGTACAGGTGAGATATAGCATTCTCCAAAACTATACCTACAAGCAGGGATTAACACAGCCCAAGCACATTCTTTTCAGGCAGTCAGGATGAAGTCAGGCCCTTGTGAGGAGTAAGTATTTTGGCTGTAGGAATGTGAGCCATGTTACGGCAGCTGGCTTGTGGGACAGAGAACAGTTTATACTGTTAAAGCTAACTGCAGGTGTACCCTGTAACTACAAAACCTGAGGACTGAGAAAGCCTGTGTAGTTCACGAGGCTAAAGTTGGATCACTGAGAATGGACTAGATCCAAGTTAGTCTAATAGGAGAAAGACACTACTGTATCACCGCCAGGAAAAAAACAAACACCAAAACCAAAAACCAACAACAACAACAAACCCAAACAAAAACCCACAGAACAAAAAACCACAACAAAACAAACAAACAAAACCCCACAAACCCAAACAACAAGAAACTCAAACCAACACACAACAAAAAAAACAACCAACAAAAACTAAAACACACCACAAAAATTTCTCTCCTTAAATGGAGAGCCTGGGTACAGAATACTTGAGTTAAAGATTTAGTTGGAGACAAGTATGGGACAAGAAAAGAAGAGAAATCCATCTAACCAAACTGTGCAACATGAACCTTTAAGAGCATCAAGGGCCATAAACCACCAGTACATTACAAGCCACCTGTGGCAGTGAGTGCCCTGATATATGATCATATCATCTACAGTCATAGCAAAGGCCTATGGAATTAATAACAACTAGGTAATGACTTTTTATTGACCATATCAAAAAAAAACATCCAAGCTAACAATAACTCAGTGCTTTGGCCAGTGACATTGCTACTACATTTGATGTAGCAAATACTGTGGGTTAATAGAAATGTTATATTCTAAGGGAAAGTGATTCAAACACTGAAACTCAAAGCCACACACAATTTAAAACCAGTCACGCCAAACAATACAAGCACTGTATTTAAAGCAGATGCTGCAGAAGTTGTTCTAGGTATCTAAAACTAACGACATGACATCAGAATTCTCGCCTCCTCCAAAGAGGTGTCAGTTTTGGTAGGAAGTTTGGTCAGTTGTGTTTTACCTTCTTTCTCTCTTTCTCCAAAGCCCTCCACTGCTCGTAACACTCCTCCAGTCGGATGTGAAGCTCATTAGCAGGTCCACTGCGATTTCTCAGAGGTCTGTACTTGTTAAATGGTGTTGGAAAGGCAAAGTATGGTGCAGCTATTTCTCCACAAAACAGATCATTGATAAAGGGATACAAGTGGCTCAAGTCATCATAATGAAAAAGATCAACAAGTTCTGAGAATGGAAATGGTGATGGAGGGAAACTGAAGTTATTTGCTGATGAAAACAGATGAGGATGAAGTGAAGGAAAACCAGGATTTTGTTTAAAATCAGACATTAATGGGAAAGAATGAAAAAAAGAAGGATTGATGAAATCTGACACGTTACCACCATTCTGTTCATGCTTTTTTCGGAACATATTGAATTGCTGATGATCTGGGGTTGTATATCCAAAATGAGGAGTCCAATTCCTTCTGCCTCTTTTATCATCTTTATTACTATTTTCTTGGGTCTGTTTTTTTTGAAATCTGTGATATTTTTCAGGGTCTTCACTTACAGCATTCTGCTGGGTTAACCGGTCAGATGGAAAATCAATGGGGCATTTGTGGTATTGCCCCTCCTTATTAGGCAATGAATTGTGCTGCAATCGTCCAATGGCTTTCATTTGCTTTGGATTTTCTGAGATGGAATTATAAACTCCAAAATTATTAGAAACACTATTTGATATATGTGACCTTTCATCTTTCCCTGAAGGGAAGACAGGTAAGATCTGTGGGTAGTAGGACTGCATTACAGGCTGTTGTGTAGGATAACCAACAGACATGGCTGAAACCCCTGAAGACGGCTGCGGACTTCCTACCACTTGCTTTCCATGCGGGATATCTGATGTACCTGTTTTCCCATCCAGCCACATACGTCCATGGTATGATGGGTAACTCCTATTCTGCATAACATTTTTTAGAGATAAATCATATTCTGATACCTTATGAGAGCATTCTTTAGGACTAACATGGATCTTACAGTCATTATTGTTAAGAGCATCATCCCCCAAAGGAAAGCTATGACGACTATTTTGCACATGGGTTTCCTGTGCTGTTTTGTCTGTTCCTCCAGAAAAAATATTCTCTTTAGGGGGTTGATTGAAAAAACATGGTGATGAATGAATAGATGACTGTAATTTATGAGCAGCTGTAAAGTTTCCGTATCTTTTAGAAAACAACTGGTTGTCCTGAGACACTTTATCCCAAGAGTCATCAACAGGCTGATTAGAAATATCAGAAGAATACTTAGCTTGTTCTTGAGTACAATTTTTCAGAGCTTTGCTTCTTGCTCTTTCAGTTTTCCAAAACTCTTTCTGAATGCTAGTGCCTTCTTTAACTCTTTTCTGAGAAGAAATAGTGCTAAAATTGGAACCGTTTTTGTCATAGTCTCCATTTAACCTTATGTGGTCGTAACTGCCCAAATGCTGATTACAGTCTACATTTTGAAATGAAAATCCTTCTTGATGAATTGCATTATTATTTTGCAAAGAGGAATTGTCAGGGTAACTGTTCTTCAGAATACTATCAGGCTGAGTGCAAGGGACAGATGGAGAAAGCCAAGACTGTATGAGATGAAGATCTTCCAAACCTCTGTGTAACATCTCCACATCACATGACTTCTGCAAGTGCCCCTGATAGCAGTTCTGTGTACCCATCAGCGCTGGAAAATCCTGATTTTCAACAGAGTGCTTAGATGGGAGCCCTGAGAATTCACCATTGCTTCCAAGGTCAGGTGCCCACATAGGTGGAAACAATCTTGAAAGAGAATTCCTGTAACAAAGTTAAACAAGCCTCCTGTAATGGTTTAAGAAATTTCTTACATTAAAGCAGGTTATCACTGTCATTCCCTGAACATGTATTTTTCCCCCATTACATTCTTGGCTAATTATACACAGCCCTCCTCTAAAACATAAGTTGTGGAAGTTCTTCTGCTGCAGTTGAGTAAATGCTATGTAAAATCTGACTACTAATGATGTTCTCTAATATTTATAATCTGTATATTGAGAACTGCAGAGTTTATTCAGATTTATTAAATATTTTAGATTTGACTGTATTCAGTCAACTCCCTACCGGTTAAAATGAGATTTTCCCCTCTCCTCCCAAATGCTGTAGGTTGATAGAAGACTAGAAAATTGGCGTTTCTAACAGTTTGTTGCCTTGTTTTTTTAATAGCAACTGCAGTAAAGAAGAACACCTCTACATTTCAAGGGGATTTATAAGACCTTCATTATTCAACACTGTGAAATAATAATTAAAAATATGTATCTGTGTGATAAAGGTCATAAAACCCATACGCACATATAAGAACTTTCAGATCAAACTTACCAGTCTGTAACTGGTTCTGGCTTGCTTGGCTCCTCTAAAATGCTTGACACTAGTCCAAACATATCAGGGCCATTGCCAGAATAAGATAGGTTTACTGGTGCCCTAAAGAAAAAACAAACCAAAAAAGCCTAGAAAGTCTTTTTCTCCTTAACAAGACAGGCAAAAGGAAAAGTAAAGCATTAAACCTTTGATTTATTTCAGCAGCATCTGCTAAGTGCTCTGCATTTAATGTAATCTCAGGACACATATATAGAAATCTCCTGCACTCATGAATTCTATAGCTTAAATGAAGCAGAACAACTTCCCTAACTTCTCGCTTCACCAGACACTTCTCAAACTGTGAAGAGTAAGGAGCAGCAAAAGATTCTTCCCTCTTTTCAAACAACGTAAGTTAGTTTATAGACATTTCTTCACATCTTGAGTGTCTCCTTCAGAGGATTAATATGATCAATCTTCTCAAAATCTTGGGGATTCTAAATTATTTCCATAATTCAATAACTGTAATTTTAATCTCAAAACATTTCAGTTAAATTTCAGTTGGATCACTTTTTTAACCCCCTTTAGAAAGGAGTTGGTCAAAACTGTATTAAATATTCCAGATAAATATCGAAGTTGCTCAACCATCACTACTCTTACGCAAGCCCAACTTTTACTTAAGGTGCAAAATGAAATCTTTAAAGAGCTGTTTAATGGCATCTAACTCTTACTCAGCAGTTAATTAAAACGTAACACCATTAAGATCTCCTTCCCCCTAACACGCACTGTTTTGCTCCAATAAATTTCACTCATCATCCTATTCTCACTCAGCTGATTCATTTCAGTATCCCTGAAGATCTCTCAGTCTTTCCTGGTGTCAGCTTATCCCAACAACTACATCATCTGCTAATGCTACCTCATAATTACTCACGGTGATTTTGCTGATTAACAACTATAAAATGTGGGATAAACTACTATAATTATCACCTTGTTAATCTCTTGACACAGGGAAAATTAGACAGTTATGCCTTACTAGCTTTTAAGACCTCACCACATTTTGACTCCTAACTACCTTATTATTTACTTCCTGACCATTCAGTTCCTTCTGGAAGGAATTTGGCGTGTGTTTTTGTTTAGAATACACATAAATGCAAGAATTCTTGAAAATGTTTTATGAATGTAGAACTATAACTGCTCTTTGATGACTAGATCTCTTCTGTGCCTTTGTCAGATGGCAAACTTTTTTTTCTCTTATTTTTTGTAAGGCGGCCTATTTTATTTCCAATTGCTGCAACCAAATAGAGATCAGAGATGAAAGCTTGCACGTAGATCATGATTTTCAGCAAGGGACAGGTCAATTTACAATGTGGCACAGAAATTAAAATCACTGGCCATTTTAGAACCACATACAGGTCAGAAGGAAGCTGGAACGACTATAAATGAAAAAGATAATCGTAGGAAAGAACAAGCACAGGACAGCAGTGAGTCTAAAATTGCCCAAACAGATTTTACACACTAGATGGACATAAGATGAAATGTTTGTGTGTTCCTTCTGGTACATGAACCAGAAACATTAAAATGCAATTCAAGACAGGAGAAACGGAATACTTGACAAATCCTATTTCTTAATGCAATCACTTGTTCAAACAAGGGACTAGAAACACCTCCCCTTGCCTTCTGTCTCAAGCCAGCACTGTTCGCTACCAGCAACACAAAAATTCTTGGTAATGTGACATGTCAGGAAGCATCTCATAAGGTAAAATCCCAATATACCCTGACAGGAAGGTATTTCCCATGAAACACACCAAAACACATGGAAAAGAAGCCAACTACATTCCTGCCTTCTGTTCTCTGAATAAACTACCCTCCATCAATCACAGGACAAGTGAATTCAAAAACAAAAATCCCAGTGTAACAGCCATTCAGTTTTCTCAAGTCCAAGATAGGCAGCAACTATCCTTTCTGGTTTCTACCAGAAAACACTTGCTGTAATATCCCTTAGTTCTGCATAACCAAGGAATCAAATCTTTAGCTCCTACTGCCTTAAGAGAATTCACTGCCTACCAAGGCAGAGCAACATAAAAAGAATCCATGAAAATAACCAGCACACAGGAAAGGCAAAGCCATGCCAAATTGCTTACAACTGTACCAAACAGAACACAAATGTCCAGCCTGGCACCAAGTTTGTGGCAGCAAGCAAGCCTGCCCCTGCAGACAAAGAATAAGAAATAGGACAAATGAACCAAGACCTACAGCTTCTCCCAAAAACTTCGAAGATCATCCTCCAAGGCCCTCCAAGGGTGGGAGGAGGAGGGTTGCCGAAGATGAAAGATCAACAGGCAAATGGAAATGGTACCTTTGACACATCTGTGTCCAGCTGTTGTGATTAACTTTAGAACTGAAGCTGAGGACAAGTCCACAGGCTTTGAGGACAGACATTAGATGTGTTGTCTTCCTTTGGGGAGATACTGCATTTGTTACCTTTTATTTGCTACCTTACAATAATCTAAAGGCTGCTTTTAAGAAGAGATTGTATATTTTATTAGTGGATTGCCACTCAGAGCTTAAACTTCACACTTACAGCTAGTACTAAAGCTATATAACCTTTTAATGAAAGAAATATGTAGTGCATATATCTTCTTTAACTGTAACCTTTCAGCATCTTTTGAACCAGTGGACTCCCCTTTCTCCTCACATCAAATTTCCTCTTTCTTACTAGACAAGCGATAAACTGCAGTGAGACTGATATTATCAATGCTAACAGCATCACCACAGTGTCAAAAGCTGCTGTGCCAGTCTGTACCAACCAACCCCTCAAAAGCAATATTATGTTGCCAACACTTGGCATTAAGATGGAAAGAATAGAGATGGAAGCCTAATATGAAATCATGATTTACATTTTAAGGCTGGAACAGTTCTAATGTTACAATTTCAATGGCTGTGCACAAGCCATAAAATCACCAATACAAAGGAGAGAACCAGTTAATTCAGTGGGCACCTCCCAGTTGCTATAATCATTCCCTGTTCCTTGCAACCCTTGTATCATTCATGATTTTATAAAAATCACTCCTCAGCAGAGCTGACTCACCAAAACTGAAGAGAAGTTTTATCTCCTCTCCAATGCACAGAAACTTTCAAACCCCTGTCCAGCCTCACTGCCCTTCTGCACCTTTACTAATTCTACTGCATTATTAAGACTGGATGATCATCAGAAGTGCCTGCAATAGTCAGGACCTGGGCAGAGTGGAGCACTCCAGGGGAATAAAAATGTTTCATGATTCAAGTAACGAAGACCCTTTGCATTCATTCAGCATCCAAAACTGCAACTGATCAAACTTGAGTGCATTATATGAAGGGAAGACAGAAGGCTGGCATATTTTCAAGAGTAGCTGTACACATATTTATGCTTTCAGTTGCAGAAGCACCACGTACACTTAACCTGTACCTAACACTCTCTGCATTGTTCATGTTTCAGGAAATACTCTGTACTATCAAGCAGGATCATAACGAGCTATGGTACTGAGGGGTGGGAGGCACGGAAGGAAAGTACTTTTCTTAAGGAGTTTTCAATTACGTATGGCATTTTCCCATTTCATTCCCTAAATGTAGTATTCTTTCCAAATTTTAAAACATTTTCACATGTAAACATACACATCTATACACATACAGACCCCCTACCTTTCTGACAACCTTTATAATAACTATTATAGAATAAAAAAAATTCGAGTTTCTAGTTATCCCAGGAACTCTTCCTAAAAAGATCCAGATTCCATTTGTTCTGCTCCATAATCATAGAATCATAGAATAGTTAGGGTTGGAAAGGACCTTAAGATCATCAAGTTCCAACCCCCCCCGCCATGGGCAGGGACACCTCACACTAAACCATATCACCCAAGGCTTCGGTATTCCAGAACACCACCGTAAGATTACACCAAGAATGCTCATACCGTTTCTTTGTGCAGTCCTGAAAAGAAGTTTTAGAGCCAATATCCTCTTCACATGTTGACCAGTTACTATATAGATGGGAAGATTCTAGCGGAGGTGGGGTACTTGTAATAGCTCCTAATAATGGGGAAAATAATTGAGTGTCCATTGTTTGTTTCTTGCTATTTACCTATGTTGAAAAGAGAAAGAAACATTTTTAACATCAGATGTTTACATAGATGAGCAGTAAATGCAACAAAGCAAATCCTTCCTTTTATATCTTGAGCTACATAACTTTTCAGGAAAACGGAACGTAGCTATGATAAAAGGATGGAGTATAAAATTGCTGCATCCTCTGCCTTAAAGTAGGCTAAAAATAAATGATAATAAAAAATTACTTACTATACAATAACACGAATTGTCTACAGGTTTCACATTGTAGGTGTTTGCATGTCACGTTCACAAGCTCAGAATCTTCTGGCCTAAATGACTGGAAATGCACTTATCACAGGCATACACATCCCTTCTGAGAAAACAAAGGGAAGAGAAATTATCCCTGAAAACATAAAATATTCCAACAAAGTGCCCACAATTAGCACAAAGAGACACTTCTAAACTTCACAGAGCAAAACATGGGTAAGAAAAGCCATCTGTCTTTAAGTGATGGTCCAGAAAAGACAAATTATTTATTCAAAGAATACATAGTAGGGAATCTAAAGAACATGGGGAACCGCACCTCACACAGTATCTCATTGCTATGACAGAGCCTGTGATTGACAAAGGTTTACACTGAGTATCAGAAACCTGCTTTGAGTTAGAAGGAACCTCTGGCATCATCTAGCCTAAATCCCTGCTCAGAGCAGGACCAGTTAGGTCAAGCTACTGAGTTTTTGAGATCCCACCTGAAACCCTAACACCTTTCCAATCCTAACTATTCTATGATTCTAATTTGAGGCAGGAGGCACTGACTCCTATGACCCTGTGGACGTTAGACACATATTCTGTAACATTTTATAAAAACACACTATCAATATCTGCATTACTAAATAAGAAACAACTTCCTGGCCCAGAGACTAAATGACAGAACAGTGTTCTTACCCTGCAGCAGAGGAGCATGGTGGTATCCACATTATCCGTTATAAATGAGTCCTGAACCACATACAACTATCATTTAGGAAAGCAGTATCTCACCAAGGCCAACATCTTAGCAGTATCAACAAGCACAAAACAATGCCTGAGCCTTGGTTTTGTTTTGTCTATTAAGAAGCAACACAGAGATAAATTACGCTCCTTGGTTACAGCAGAAAATATTTTCACATAAATTAAAAACAAGATCTGCAACTAATGGATTTATTTATTTATTTTCAGAGCCATTAATCACTGCTAATGTGAGCTGTGCAGGACAACGTGACTAAGGATCAGCTAAGGAGGTACTTCATGTACCCGAGATACAACCTCATTATTCAGCACATCCAAACCACAGGAGTCTGTCATTCTACCTAGTCAGGCAGAATTTCAAAATAACCGAGGAATTCTCATCTGGGCTGTACATATGAACTACTAACAAGATACGGTAAAAGGAAAGAGGGACAAAACAGTGTGTTGCCTCCTACAGCTTGCCTTGGTTTCAGAATTCTTCACTGAATTTCAGGTAGTCACAACAACTAATAACTTAACGGCTTTACAGAGAAAGGACTGACTACAGAGGCACAGAGGTGTTTCACTCAGAATGAATGAAATGCTGCCTCAAAACTAGAAAAAGTTAAAAATAAATAAAAAAACAAGCGATGACAAATCCAGTCTTCAGTAGGGCTTTGCTTCATTCTTTCTACCCTGTAAATCATTGGAAAGCTGCTGCTTTCACTGAATTACCTCTTAACAAAAAACTTACCATATCTAAAACCTAAACATGTTTATCTCCATAGATCTTTTTTTCTCCCAAAGCACAACAGATACACCTTCTGTTCTTTCATGCAAAATGCAAACTTGCATGTATTAAACTTTCTCCCTCTGTACAAAACTGAACACACTGTGAAATCACATCTTCTAATGCATACAGAGGGCTTTTAACTTCTGTAAGCAGATCATTGCAACTGAGGAGTAAGCCAACAGAAGCATTTACTAAAGCATTCACTGTTTCCAAAAGCCTTACACAGTTCTTTGTATTTAGAAACTTTTTCAACATTTATTTTATTTGGGAAGAAAAAGAAAGGGAAACTCCATTGGTATAATGTTAACATTTCAAATATAAATATGCATGAAGCTAAACAGTATCAAAGCTACCAGGCACTGATGGCATTACAATACCTGAAGGCGAGTCCTGTGCTCCCACTACGCACTGATGCCCTTTTGATTCCTGGTTCCTTCGCTCCTGCTTCACCCAGGCTGCATGCTAAGGATGTGCTGTTACTATGTAGATGGACAAAGACCCTGAGGACAGCTCCTCTTCCTACTATCCTCCCATTGCCCAATCAAGTGCCACACTAGCACAGCTGCCAGGTGGGACAAGGCAGATGCAATCTACGGATCTTAGTACTGGGCTGGATAAACAGTAAATTGCACCAGGAACAGAGTCCTGCACAGCAGAGAATGCAGAACAGCTGAGGTTGAGGGGACCTTGGGAGTCAAGGCCACTACTTGGAGCATAGCACTCAGGGGCTTGTGTAGTCATGTCCTGAGCACTGCCAAGGACAGAAGACAAGCAGACACATCAATGTGCCCACACTGTATCTCCAGACATAGATAGGAGACAAATTTTCCAGAGACAGACACTTCTGCCTATCTACCACTGCTTGAGATGGACAGCTAGGAGAGAGATCTACGACCTGCTGGAAATCCGCTGTCTGTAGACTTAACTGCACTCTGAAGACAGCAGAAGATTCAAATATTATTTCTCATTACTGGAAATATTTTGTTTCTTATGCTGTCCAGCTAAGTACTGGAAACAATTCAAGGCTGTAACTGTCTATTCTGACATGGTAACAGCTGCTGACAGAGAAGTGAAGGACCCCCAGGCAGACTAGAGGAGTTTTAGGGATTTTCAGAAACAACTGCATTAGAACACTGCACAACATCTTTGTCTCTGAACAGCAGAGATATGCATTTGATTGGTAGATTACTCACTAGATAAGGAACTGGCTGGACGGCCACACTCAAAGAGTTACAGTCAATGGCTCAATGTCAAAGTGGAAACCAGTGACAAGGGGCATTCCTCAGGGGTTGGTGTTGGGCCCGATCCTGCTCAACATCTTTGTCAGCGACACAGACAGTGGGATTGAGCACCCTCAGCAAGTCACCAATGATACCAAGCTGTGTGGTGCAGTCAAACACACTGGAGGGAAGGGATGGGATTCAGAAGGACCTGGACAGGATGGAGAGAGGCGATAGTGAAAACTGCATGAAGTTCAACAAGGCCAAGTGCAAGGTCCTGCAGCTGGGCTGCGGCAATCCCAAGCAGAAAGACAGGTTGGGGAAGACTGGACTGAGAGCAGCCCTGAGGAGGACTTGGGGGGTTGGTTGATGAGAAGCTCCCCATGAGCCAGCAGTGTGCACTTTCAGACCAGAAACCAACCATATCCTGGGCTGCATCACAAAAAGTGTGACCAGCAGGTCAAAGGAGGGGATTCTCCCCCTCTACTCTGCTCTGGTGAGACCCCTCATTGCAGTCCTGTGTCCAGCACTAAAGCATCAACATAAGAAGGATGTGGAGCTCTTGGAGTGAGTCCAGAGGAGGCCACAAAGATGCACCAAGAGCTGAAGCACCTCTGCTATGGACACAGGCTGAGAGAGCTGGGCTTGTTCAGCCTGGAGAAGAGAAGGCTCCAGGGAGACCTTAGAGCAGCTTCCAGTGCCTAAAGAGGCTGATAAGAAAGCTGGAGAGGGGCTTTTGCCCAGGGCACGCAGGGACAGGACAAGGGGGAATGGCTTTAAGCTGACAGAGGGGAGATTTAGATGGGATCTGAGGAAGAAGTTCTTCCCTGTGAGGGTGGTGAGGCCCTGGCACAGGTTGCCCAGAGAAGCCCTGGAAGTGTTCAAGGTCAGTTTGGACAGGGCTTGGAGCAACCTGGTCTAGTGGAAAGGCATCTCTGCCCATGGCAGGGGGTCTTCAATGTCCCTTCCAAACCAAACCATTCTGCTACTCTGTATGATTCTATGCCAACTGTATGAAGCATTTGTGGTGACATTATGTCTATCTGAGGTACACTGCTGAACTATAGCATTGAGGGGGGGACAGAATGAAAAAAAAATTTCAACAGGCCTTCACTCTCTGTTTCGGAGGTGAGAACAAAGACTTACAGAAGATTTAACAATTCTCTGAAAGGACATATTATAAGCTTAAAAAAATATGATCAGAACTAAATATTTACTTCATTTTATAATTAGAAGAAATAATTTTATTGACATAAAAAAAGCCCTATCTGACAAAGTTGGGGTTTTTTTTCCAAAAATCATCTGAGCTAAATTAGGAGAATGCTTTTTTACCGTCAGTTACCATCAAAAACTGCAGGAACTCACTGCTACAGAACATCACTCACAGATACTTTTCATAAACATCTACCATAACAATAAATAACAGCACGGCACAATATTATTACTTCTATGCTGAATGTATTCATCTCTGATTTTTTGGCAGGATAAATATTTCTTGTTTATTTCTTGTTTTTCTTGGCATGATAAAGCAAACATAAGAAAAAGCACTCTTTTGGCTTTTTGACTTAAAACTTCTAGTAACACTTACCTACAGACATTTTAATTTGTAGCACACTGAAAAAGGCTAGCTCATGCAGGATACGCTGATATTAATTATCTGCAACTAGTGGGTAAGAGTAAGCAAGTCAGAATTCTATAAATTGCCTTCTTGGGTTACCTGGGAAGCTAACCGGCAGAAGTAAAGAGATGACAGGGGTATGTAGAAAACTAAAACCAGAGGAGAAAATAGGTCAGTTATCCAGCTATTTCTCAATATCAGGGACTAACCCTCAAAAATGGCAGATTACTGGATACTTCCTTCTAAATCCAATTTTGAAAAGGCTTGTTGCAGTAGCAAAGGGAAATATTATTTTCCAGCAGTCAAAGAATTAGGAAACATTTTTTCTGAGAAAACGGAATCAAGTCTTTAGAGCTCTCCAAGAGTTGGGTCAAAAATCATATAAGAAAGCACCAACTCAGACAGTGCATGGAGGGAGAAGTACATTTATGAGATGCTTATTCAATACATGGGTTTTATAGCCAAATTACAACTGAGAACAAACATAGGACAATAGGCCATTTCTTCTGTTTGTTTCAAATGCTAGCATCTAAATACATTCATTTAATATAATCAAAGATATTTATTTTGGCCATGGTAATTTCCAGGAATTACTCTCCAGCAGATCGTGGTAAGTCTCACAAATGCCCTTGACAAGTGGCCCTCACAGCCAGACTGAATGGGAGCTGCTGGCTTGCACGAAGAGATTACTCTCCTCCACTGAAACAGAGAGTAAAAGCTGCTCCATCTCTAATGCAGCATCCTCTTGAGGTGCAGAGGATTTTTCTTATGTGGTTATTCAACAGATTTTATTAGAAAATTCCAACATATTATACAAGTATTTATCTCTGTTTACCTGAGCAAATTCACTTTTTTGGACTCACCTGTGACTTGGCATGAGCATGGGTAACACACTATTTGACCATGTCTTTGTCATCAGTACACAAGTTGTCTTCTCTAAAGTATGCAGCATTGTTGTGCAAGCAGAAATTTATATTCTTAAGAACAGAATTAGCCTAATTAAAAGCAATTAAAAAAATGCAGTAATTACCAAGTCTGTCAAAGTTGTACTTTTTATACATGAAACTCATTTCTAGCTACCCCTCATTGCTCCTCCTACCATCTCTCCATGTTACACCACCCACAGCTCCTCCACAACCACCCACATCTTACACATTAGCAGAACATCAATGTTCACAGAATCACAGAATGGTTTGGGTTGGAAGAGACCTTAAAGACCACCCAGTTCCAATCCCCCTGCCACAGGCAGGGGGACCTTCCACCAGACCAGGTTGCTCCTAGACCTGTCCAAACTGACCTTGAACACTGCCAGGGATGGGCAACCACAGCTTCTCTGGACAACCTGTGCCAGGGCCTCACCACCCTCACAGGGAAGAACTTCTTCCTCAGATCTCGTCTACATCTCCCATCTGTCAGTTTAAAGCCATTCCCCCTTGTCCTGTCCCTACCTGCCCTTGTCAAAAGCCTCTCTCCGGCTTTCCGGTCAGCCCCTTTAGGCACTGGAAGCTAAGCTGTCCCCGGAGCCTTCTCTTCTCCAGGCTGAAGAAGCCCAGCTCTCAGCCTGTCTCCATAGCAGAGGTGCTCCAGCCCTCGGAGCATCTTTGTGGCCTCCCCTGGACTCACTCCAACTGCTCCAGGTCTTACTTATGTCACGGCTCCAGAGATGGATGCAAGACTGCACAGGGGGCTCTCACCAGAGTGGAGCAGAGGGGGAGAATCCCCTCTCTTGACCTGCTGGTCATGTTGCCAGTGATGCAGCCCAGGACACAGCTGGTTTCTCGACTGGAAGTGCAAACTGTCAGGTCATGGGGAGCTTCTCATCAACCAACCCCCCAAGTCCTTCTCCTCAGGGCTGCTCTCATTCCAGTCTCCTCCAGCCTTTATCTGTGCTTAGGACTGCCTCAACCCAGATGCAAGACCATGCACTTGGCCTTGTTGAACTTCATGTGGTTTGCCTGAATGCCCTGAATTTGTAAATAGTTTTATTTCTTCTGTCATTGCTCAAAAAGAACTCTAAGCAATAGACAACCAACCACAGCACAACACCAGGACTTGTTTCATGAACAGAGAAAACCAATTGCTTTCTACAGATTTTTTCCCTACCTCAAGCTCATAGTTAACAAGTGTCTTCCCTACCATATCCTCTCAGCCTCCCCAGGTCTCCCCATCCTTCCCTATTCAGTGCGCCCTCAGCAAGTTTGCCAATGACACCAAGATGTGTGGATCGGTTGATCCGCTGGAGGGAAGGAATGCCATCCAGAGGGACCCTGACACACTTGTGAGGTGGGCTGATGCCAACCTCATGAAGTTTAACCATGCCAAGTGCAAGGTACTACACCTGGGTCGGAGCAATCCCAGGCACAGCTACAGATTGGGCAGAGAAGAGATTCAGAGCAGCCCTGCAGAGAAGGACTTGGGGGTGTGCTGGGCAATGAGAAAATGAACGTGAGCCAGCAGTGTGTGCTCACAGCCCAGAAAGCCAACCATATCCTGGGCTGCATCAAAAGGAGCGTGACCAGCAGGTCGAAGGAGGTGATCCTGCCCCTTTATTCTGCTCTCGTGAGACCTCACCTGGAGTATTGTGTGCAGTTCTGGTGTCCTCAACATAAAAAGGACATGGAAGTGTTGGAACAAGTCCAGAGGAGGGCCACGAGGAGGATCAGGGGACTGGAGCACCTCCCATATACAGATAGGCTGAGAAAGTTGGGGCTGTTCAGCCTGGAGAACAGAAGGCTGCGTGGAGACCTCATACCAGCTTTCCAGTATCTGCAGGGGCCTGTAAGAATGCTGGGGAGGGACTGTAGTGACAGGAGAAGGGGTAAAGTGTAAAAAAACACGAGAAGTTTAGACTGGCTATAAGGAGGAAGTTCTTTACTGTAAGGGTGGTGAGGCACTGGAATGCGTTGCCCAAGGAAGTTGTGAATGCTCCATCCCTGGCAGTGTTCAAGGCCAGGTTGGACAGAGCCTTGGGTGGTATGGTTTAGTGTAGCCATGGCAGGGGGGTTGGAACTAGATGAACTTAAGGCCCTTTCCAACCCTAACTATTCTATAATTCTATGATTCTACTCATCCTGATGGCAACTAGCTAAGAGCCCGCTGTGACATGACTGGGTAAGTAGGTTACACGGGCACTTACAATCATGTAGTCCTCTCCGAAAGGACACTGACATGGGTCTCTCCTCTGTGAGGGTGATTATCGCTGAGACGTCCACCCACCTCTCCCCTGATTTCACTGAATTTGATGTATGGTTTAAAGCTCACTGGAGGAACAGCAGATTCCTCAACAACAGAACCATTCAATATGCTGAAAAAAAACAATCCCCCTAATTTTTCTCAGGAGTGTTAACTCATCTTCCCATCAACACTTTTTAAAATTAACACTAGAAACTTTAAACGAAGCTTGTAAATATCAATCCTTCTCAAAACATTTACAGTCACCCTATTTTTGTTGTCTTCTGCCCCCTCATACCCTGTTCCTGATTGATGACTGGGATAACATCTTCCCCACACATATATGTACACATACAGTTTCTGTAGTCTTCTTCCACTGACCAAACAGAAACAGAAACCTGACTCTGAATTACTCCTCTGTGGTTAATGGGAACGTTACTTACCTGAATGCCTGCTTTTCAAAGTAATATGCATAGTAGTAACTTCAGGTGGATTTAGGTTGCACTTCCAGAGAGACACAGTGTGCACGTGTACAACCACTGATGCCATTGTGAACAAGTACCTAAGTTCTGGGTTTTGCAATCCCATGTGCTACAGTTCATCTAATCCTCAAAAGGGAAAAAAAAACCCAGACAATTTGAAACATTACCTTAATATTGTAGGGTAATCATGAGGAAGGCCTAAAAACATCCACCTGCATTACCTGAGGGTTTGCAGGTTCCACAATCAGGTTAAATGGGAAAACTGTGGTTCAGTCTAAAGACCTGCACTTCTCTTTCACACACCCATTTTGAACTTCTTTCAGTTTTTTATATTTAGTCCTATCTGCTTTACAAAGCTGCATGGCAGTAAGTTTGCTCCCAATTGCTCCTCAAATCCACTGCCACAAAGCATTATCAGTACCTTTGTGAGGTACTTCTTGAGACAACAAAAACGCAACCTAAGCATACAGAACATTTCTGCAACATTTATATGAAAACTTAGGATGTCAATGACAAGAAATTAAGCACATTAAGCACTTGGGAAACCACACAACACAGAATTATCCTCTGGGAACTGTGGCAACGTATGTGCAGCTACCATACCTTCTGCCTTCCTAAAGCCAGTCATTTCAGAAATTCAGATTTGTAACCTCCCCACTTACTGCAATTCTTACTTTATCAATAAGGAATAACTTGCTAGCAAGTAGCTTAGAAACAAAGCCCTGATCTACAATTTGTATAAACTATTAAAAGAAAGGGTACTGACAATGTTTTTAATGTTAATTTTTGTGTATCTACAAGCACGCTTATGGTGGTCCAAGGCCACAAGTACTTCCAACCCTGCAGTCCTATTCCAAGTTAAAAATGACTGAAGCTGCTTGCTCTCACTCTGGGAGTTTCAGAGGCTGATTTTTGTTTATGAAAGCCTTAAGACCCTAATCCCCACTTCAAACAGTAAACCACTCTTCATGAAATACTGACATGAAGCTTTAAAAACAGCGAGCACAGCTCAGCTGCAACATGTCATTATCGTAAATTTCAAATTTGGGACTGCTAAAGGATAAGAGACAGCTACCGTAAAGCACCTATTACTGAACAGCCTACAACATTTAAAGTATCTAGTCGGCAAATACACATTTAAGTATCTGAATAACGTAGTTAAAAGTGCTCCACAGGCTCCACAGAAATATAAGGAATCTTAATGACAGCAACCTCTATACATTCACCTTCACTTCTACTTCTTACCACATGTCACACCCCATTATTTCCTGGTAGCCCAGGGAAACACAAGGGACTATTAAACAAACAGGTGCAGAGATTTTTAACTGAACTTCTGCTCACTTTAGAGTTAACTTATACAAAGGCAGCTCAAGTCTATGACCTGTACATGATGTCCTTTCTAAATGTGTTGCTATAAAACAGTATTATTGGTATTAACATACTCTCAGCATAAACTTTTTTGTTTAGGAATAAAAATTCCAACTGAAGTTCAAAGAATCATAGAATCACAGAATGGTTTGGACTGGAAGGGTCTTTAAAACTCATCCAGTTCCAAAACCCCTGCCACACACAGGGGCACCTTCCACTAGGCCAGGTTGCTCCAAGCCCCATCCAACCTGGCTGTGAACATTTCCAAGTTCCAAAATATTTTTTCCAGATTCATTTTTGACAGATGGACTATCTAGTACAGTTGATACTCCAGTAAATCAAACTGTCTTCCCAAATATATTTTTAAACAAAACAAACAAAAAAAAACTGAAATCAGCAATTACTGAATGTGTAAAAACAAACTCTCTGAAGTTACAAACAGGCATATGTGGCCAAAATAATAGGTTTTGCTTTTTAATCAGCTGCACAAGGATTTTTATTCACTGTATATCATTATATAGAGATTTGTATCTTAATTTCATCACTACCAAGATTAGATATAAGGCTACTTTTCCTACTTGACCTGCTCCTCACTTTGTAAAACTCAAGTAGTAAGCAGATGACTTCAAACCTGCAGACTTGAGCAAACACAGCACAGTGTCATTCTACGGATCTAAACTGTTTCTAAGGAGAAATGAGGGGGATCTATTACCTGCCTGAGATGTACATTTCTCAGAGAAAGGGTGACGGCAAGTATTCCCAAGTTTCCCATCCACTCTGTCTCTCCTCACTGTTCCTGTCAGGACTCTGCTGGTCAACATGAGAACCTTATGTTGGGAAAACTATGTTTTTGTCAGGCACTCTTGATATGCAAGCACTGGAAAGGCAAGGCACTATCAGGCAAATAAATCACTACACTTTAAACTACAGCACTACAGCAGCCTAAGGAAATATTACACTGCAGAAATCTCTTTGCTGAATTATTTCCCAGCTCTCTGAAACACCAGCAGGACTCCATGCACCTAGCAGCCCTCCAGAGGAACAAAACCCACGTAAACCCCACCCCGTGGCGAGAATCAGCTTCCCCCAACCAAACCTGCACAGATGTTACTGTCGGCTGTTCCCTGCCAGCCTTCTTCCCATCAACGCAGGCCCCTGGGAAGCAGCAGCAGCACAGGCACTCCAACACGACAGTTGTACACACCAGAGCTCTGCAGCAGCAG